GTGTCCCTGGCCAGCGCGGGAATGGCGCGGCGGCCGCTGCGCCCCGGGAGGGGCCGTGCTGCGGGGCGGGGGTCGGGCCGTCCCCGCGTAGGCCCCGGGGATCTCCTTGTGGGTGCTGCGGGTTCCCTGTAGGTCGGGGTGTCCTGGAGATCCGCTGTAGCTCAGGGGGATAAATCCCCCTGGGAAAGCACAAGGTCTGTGGGGTTTCTGTGAGGAGTCCTTGAGCCCAGAGATAAGGCTCGGAGGGTGCAGACTTACAGCGAAGGAATCAAATTAGTAGTGGGGAGTGCTGAAGTGTACCCAAACCTGTCATTCCCTAATAAAAGGTGCCTTTTCCTCATCCAGAATGGCCTGCCACAGTAGGGTAGATGGACATTTGGTAGTGCTGCAATTGGGTTAGACAAGAAATTGCATTCTGCAGCATACTTTCCTTATAGCAAAAAAGTAATTTCAGGTGTGATCATAAACTCAGTCAGTTAATCTTCCTGTAATCAGTGATGTGATTAATTGTATTTGGGAAATGGGTATAAATGTGAAACATTTGTGAATGGAAATGTGTAAAAAATGCATTAAGATGCAGTTAACGGTTTGAGTTGCGTATAAAGCTGCATCCACCTCTTATCGGCAGTCAGCCTGATTTTGTGATTGATCGTGCTCTCAGGGGTCTTGGATTGTATCTACTGTATGTCTGTGTGTTTGTTTCAACAGTGTTGTAACAGGAGATGGCAGAGTTCCCAATCGAGAATGTGGTATGCCAGTGTGAGAAAAAGATATGCACTGTATTCTTCTTACCCTGGTGTTTTCCTTCAGAAGCATGAATATTGCCACCCCTGTGCTCATTCCAGCTGAACAGTGTACTTTCTTATTTATTTCTTTGTTCCACAGGCACAGAAATTCTTGGTCATTCTGGCAGTTTGCTTCTCTTTCCAGAATATGGTGTTCTCTTTGCTGGCAATTTCTGTTACGAACTTGTAGTTCTTGTTCAGTATTATCCATGTTTTATGCTTCTCTGGCTGCAAGTTTAGCTCCAAGTGTGGCTTTCCAGGAGATTGTAATAGCTGTCTTTCATCAGCCTAAACACTTGCTTTAAACTACAAAATTTCTTTTGTTTTTCCATTGCTTTTATTTTTTTGTAGTGTTGTATGGGACACAAATCCTTTATCCTTTTCACCCCATATTTGGCTTAATACCTTACTTACAAAGTCATTTAGATGTCTGTTTTAGTAAATGTGTCTGTAATTGTCTCATGTTTGTAGGCTAGACTGGTATTTCCTAAGATACTACAGTTTGTTTGGGGATGAAAATGGCATGCAAAATAGAAGTATCAGCATCTCTATAATCTTGCCTTAATTTTCTTGCTCGTCAAGTTGATATCAGTAATTAATGCTCCAAAAACTGAGACTGCATTTGTTGGTATTGGTTCATCCAAGGTCTTCTCAGCTAATCACTGTATTTTTAATGCTGTTAATCCCAGTTTCCTTTCAAGTCCCCACCTATTTGGTGTGTGATACTCTGTCTTCTGCGATTGGCAAGTCAATAGCAGAGCTATTCTGTTTTGATTCATATCATGAGGATGCCACAGGAGTTGAACAGTGGCTGTTGTCAGTTTGTCTTTTACTCTGGAGAAGGACAATAACTGAACAAAGATGAGACGAGAGGGAGGCTCTGAGAGATGAGGAAAGGGACTGTCCAGAGCAAGACAAGGTTGAGATAGCAAAGATCAGAGATGTAGACTGTCGTGGAGTAACATGGCTCAAGAAGTAAATGTCATAGAGAGAAACGACTTGAACTATGTGGGCGGGAGGACAGTGCGTTCTGCGTGAGGGCTACTGCTTCTGGCTTTTCAGCTCAGCTAGTTTGCGTCCTTGCAGCTTGCGGTCAGAGAGTGGAAAGGACATTGAGGAGGAAGAGACGATAAGCCGTGAGGAATTGCTGCAGGTGCAGAGTCTCTCACTACAGCTTCTCTGACTGTTGTTGTTGGTGGTATTTTGTTCCCTGCATCCAGGGGTTCTGAGGAAAGTGGCCGATGTTATTGCAGGGCCACTTTGAAAGGTCAGTGATAAGGAGAGGATTCTGATACTAAATAAGGGCAAATACCATATAGTCATTCAAGAAGGGTAAGAAGAAGGATTGGGCCACTCTGAAACACTCTGTTTAGCCTGGTTGTGTGGGAGATGATGGCACATCTTCTCCTGGAAGCTTTGTTTTAAGCTTGTGAAGGATGAGAAGGTGATCGGGAGCAGCCAGCATGGATTTGACAAGAGCAATCATGCCTGACCAACCTGATTGCCTTCTGTGATGAGACTGGCTCAGAGAACAAGGGGAGAGCACTGAGTGTTGTTTACTTTGACTTTATCAAGGCCTTTGACATGATCTCCCATAGTATCATCTTATCAAACTGGTGAGGTATGGATTGGGTAAATGGACTACAAATTGGATGGAAAATTGCCTGGATTGCTGGGCTCAGGTGATGGTGATCAGTGGGCTCAGGTGATAGTGATCAGTGGGCTAGCACACACTGTAACAGAAGAGGGCTGAGAAAACTGTTTGTTATCACACAATAATTTTAGTAAAATAAACACTTTGCTTCTTAGGGAAATAAATACCGTGCTTCTTAAGAAATATATTTATTTTGGTCGAAAGAGGAAACCAAACTGGTTGTAGAAAGCAAGTTAAAAACAAACATGGAAGTTCTAGGAAGTTATACACATTCTGAGGTCTTTTAAAAACCTTGCAATTGAAAGCACTCTCATATTCACTGGTTTAAACACTCATTAATGCCAGTCCCCCCCTTCAAGTACAGCCAAAATCAGTGTATCTCCAGGTTCTCAATTATTTCTTTGAGGCATGTTTGCAACTGGAACTTTTTTCCCTGGGTGCCGGAGCTGTTTCCTCTTGTAGTAGTCTTCTGGTAACTTAGGTTTTCATCTGCATTTTTCTTTTTATGCATCTTGAGCAAAATAAGTTAGTGGAATATGTAAACTTTGACACACAATGTTTTTTTTTTCTAGAGCCAGAAATATATGGCTAAAAACCCCTCACTGTATGACTTTGACCAAGTATGCTTTAAACATTGTAGTTACAGATGATCTAGTTTCACAGCTCACAGACAAAGAAAATGTTTGTTTTACTTTATTAGGTTTCTTACAAAGCCCAAATGTGTTCATACAAAACCAAATGTGCATATACACACATTGTCAATACTGCCAACTGCGATTTATTAAGTTTTATAAATTTTTTCCACTAGGTCACTGTATTGTTAAACAGATGTCAAATGCAGGATCAATGCTAAAGTTGGGAAGGCTAAATTTCAAAGTATCATCTCATCTTTCTCTTAATAAGTTGATAAAGGGCATTTTTGAGGAAGTCTTTATTAATCATAGGCCTAAAACCTCTCTTAATGTGGTTGTATTTTTCTAACAAGAAAATAAGAAAGGGAAGGTGTTTGGGCATAAGCTGTAGCTCATGCTGCCATTTCGCTCTTCCCTGACTGCTGCAAAGCCCCTCAGTCAGTCATTGTAATCCAGAGCTGGAACTGGGAGCGTGTTTTGGGGATATATCTTGTTGCTTTGTGATGAACTCGGAGGCCCTGGGAGAATCTCTTGGTGTTGACAGCCCCTGACAGTAAATGTCACATGAATTCGTAGGGAGCTCAGAGCCTTCTGGTGACTGCTATGAGAAGAGACATGGTGACAGAAAACCTGATTGATGAGCCATGCCACAAGTAGAGGGAGCGCTGTGTGGTGATTGCCTATAATTGAATGGTCCATGGAAGTTATTTCTGGGTTTCCTGTGAACGGTGACATACACTCCAGGAGTGTTTTCACAGGGCAGGCCTGCAGATTTTAACCCTGGTACTCAGCAACTCTGTTAACACAGCCTTAACAGACTTTAAAACTTAACGGGCTGTTATAGCTTCATGCCTAGCATAGTAATGAAACAAATGACAACCGGAGATGGTCAGTCATGCAATTATCTTTAGAAATGTTCCTTTGTCAGTTTTTGCCTCCTCTATTTTACTGCCTTCTCCTTGTGACTCGGCTCTGTGATCTGACAACCTAGAGACGTTGATTATCAAGGAGACGTTGATTATCGAGGTTCCTCCCGATTCTGACAGTGCACTCCTCTGACATGGGCTTGTCGCAGCCATGTTAAGCACAGCAGTGATGCTCCTGGCATTAAACTGGAATGTGCGATGTTATAGCCCACTCACCCAGCAAAGCATCTGCTCACACCGACCAATTAAATTGGCTTCTCTCTCATTAAAACCCTTGTGCAGACTTTGGTATGTCACAGATCTTTAAAATCTCCATTATGAATTCCACTTCTGGGTATTTTTAGCTTATACTTGAAGAAAAGATTATTGTCTCTTGCACTTAAACATATCAATTTTGGCTCCACAGACATCTCCTCTGGGCCATATTCAAAGACCTGAGCTGACTTGAACTGCTGAATCCATAGGGAGGATCTCAACACAGCTCTCAGCGCTTGGACGTTGAGGTGGTGCAAGGAGGAAGAGGGAGAGAGATTCAAGCCCTCCCTCCTTCCCTTTGGTAAGTCAGGAGCATATCCCTTACAGATTTACTTGGTTGTGCCAATTTAATGTGATTTCTTCTGAGGGCCAGGAACCACTCAAGGAAGGCTGACAGGTTTTATCAACAGAATGGAAACTGAAGTGATAAGGTGAGAGTTATTGACCTGATAACTAACAAACAGAAAACTTCAGTGTCCCTCAAGATAAATATTGCACTCAGCAGGTAAGTAAAAGATGGCAACAGCTGTGGTCTTGTCACCAAGTGAGAGTGTGTTTTAGTGTAGAGGAGCAGGAGGTGAACTGTGAAAACAAACACATTCAGTTTGCTACAGACTATTTCCCTCTATTACTTTTAATGAGAGCTAAACTCCAAAATGCACAATGGGACAATAATATTTTAGATGGAAGGAACTCTTTGTACAGCTCCTAAATTCTAGACACCCGGTTGCAATTAAAATGATTGCTTGCATGTTATTAATAGCTCTCCAGTAGTTTAAGGCTGTTATCAGGTATGGGACCAATTGGTACTAGCCACTGCACGACTGAATGAAAAGTAGTGCTGCCCTTGAAGGAATTGAGTTAGTAACCTGAACCCACAATACTCAAAGGAGTTTGAAAAATGAGAAAAATGTAAAAAGGTGAGAGGAGCTGTGTTAAAATGCATCACTATAGAGGCTGGCAAGCAAAATGGCTGGATTACCGTAGTCAGGTGTTAGTAAATGGTGCCTAAGTGTTTTTTTTATTTTAATTCTGAAATTGTAGCTTGCGGAGGGCAGATGGGATAGGAAGTGGAGACCTCTAATGAATTATGATTTGTAAGTAATGGAAACAAGAAGTACTTCAAGTGCAGCAGTCTTTTGTTCCTCCCTTTTCCACATCTATTTTTTTCTGAAAACATGCTGGGGTTGCGTATGAAACCTGGCTGTCGCAATTCTCACATGTCCCTTGAAATTCTTGTCTGACAGAATATGAAGGCTTCAGCAGCTGAATGAAAAGGCACACAACAGAGCTCTTGTATGATGTCTGTCTCCCCTTTCTGGCACCTGGCCTGCTCAGTGCAATTGGGAAAGACAAATGGCAAGTGATCACTTCATATTCAACTTCTGCATGCTAACTTTGTTTTTCACATGGAAGCAGTTTTGTACTTGCCATGTTTGTCATTCTGCCATGTGTCTTTTCTGTTTCCTGTTACAGTTTCTATTTTTTATTTTTTTTCTTTTGAGGAGAGGGTACCAGAACTGCACTTGGTATTCAAGAAGCAGATGCATCATGAATTCATACACTGGTAAAGTCATACTTTTCTCTCCTAAGAATTCTGAACTTTTGATTTTCTTTTTTTGACTGCTATTGAGGAATGAGGTGATATATTCATAGAACTAGCGATTATAACGTCAAGATGCGTTTCCTAAATTGTGCAAACTAGTTCAGAGCCCATCACTCTGTGTGTAAAGTTAATGTTGCTTTTCGTGGATAGTTGTCAGGGCTGAAATTTGTCTTCCACTTTATCATGAGGCTGCTCAGTGTCATAAGGTCTTTGTTTTTCTAGTAAATATTACCCTAATTAATTTTGGTTTTATCCAAAATCATCTTCACTGTTCCACCTGCTTTCCAGATCACTTCTGAACACACTGAGCACCATGGACCTTAATCCCCATGAGATTCCACTGATGATCATCTTCCACTGTGAAAACTCATCCTTTAGTTTTATCTTCTTTTCCCAATATTAAGCTGTTATTTAATTCTATGAGGTCCTTACCTGTAGTCCCCAGCTGTTTAGTTTATTTAAGAGCCTTTGATGAGACTTTCAATGTCTGAGGTTTCTGGAAGCTTGGGGTGAGTTGGAAACACAGGGAAAATTTCTCAGCTGGATTTCTGTTATTTGCATGCTTTTGACTCCTTCAAAGAATTCCAGCAGATTTAGGAGGCTTAGATTCCTTTTACAAAAGTCATGTTTACTTTTCCTTATTGTGTTACTTTTATTCATGTATTCACTAATTCTGTTCTTTACTAGAGCTTCAACCAATATGACCAATATGGACATTAGACTTCGTGATCTGTGGTTTCTTGAATTGCCACTGGATTTATTTTTAAAAACTGATTTCTTATTAGTTACCTTCCAGTCCTTTGATAACTGCAGCAGTTTTCAGCAAAAGGTTATATACTATGGGTATTAGCTCAGATGATTCATATTTAACATTCTGTAAAAATCTTGTATGAATATAATCTGTGCCCAGTGATATGTGGTTACTCATTTTGTCTGGTTTGTAATCTACTCTTAACAACCTTAAGACAAGCCTTCTGTGAATGCCTTATAAACAAGATACTGGTTTGAGTTTTTCCAAGATTCTCCAGGTGAACAGAGATTTTTTTTAAAAAAAAAGGAGTTTGGGATTTTTTTGTGGTGGCATTATCTTTTCTGAGTGCTTCCTTCATACCTGTGTAGCTCACTGGCTCTTGCAAGCTTCTTGCTCTTGATGTGTTCAAGATGGATTTATTACATTATTTTTTTTATTTCTTTACCAAACTGCTTCTAAACTCTTTCTTCAGTCTGTGTTATTGTGCTTTTACATTTAGTCTGCCAGAATTTATGTTCTTTTTAGTTTTTCTTTCTCAGACACAACTTCAGCTTTTTGCAGGATACCTTTTAACTTCCAACAGCCTCCCTGATCCTGCTGTTTTATGATGCTAGCTTTTTGTTTTTCTCTCAAGTCTTTTTTGACAGGCTATATGCATTTGCTTTGAGCCTCCAATATAGAATCCTAAAATAGTCTACCTGCCATCTGAAAACATTTTACCTTTCTGGCTGCCACTCTGAGCATTTTTTTAAACAAATTTCCTCATTTTTGAATTCCCTCCCTCTGGAATCAAGCACAACCACTACATTTGCCAACATTTCTTCATTTCAGTGTATGCAATCATGAATCGCATAAAAGGATTAAGGGTTTTGGCCTAGTCCAGTCTCTAGGAAGCCTGGAAATATCAGCCATTAACATTTCACTAATGTTAATTTCACTAATTTCATTAACTGAGAAGCAGGGAAGGAAGTGGCTTTCCAGGTCTGGAGATGGTGGCAATTCTTGCCCTGGAACATCAGTTTCTCTCTTCAACCTACAACAGACAAAATGACAGGTAATTGGAAAAAAAAAAGCAACCTGGGTTGATTTGTCGCCGCATCACTGAAGTTTGATACTGTGGGAGAATAACGGAAGGTTGGTGAGGAGGGCTATAAACACACTCAAGTGACCTGCAGCTGAGGTGTAGAAAAACACATATATCATACTAATTGTTGTTTAGCCTTGTGTGTTGGACAAGTAGAACATCTGTGTTTCGATAACATAGGCCTGTGATAGACTCAGAGGCACATTATCGAGCGTCATTGAGATTTCTGCTCTGCTGTGGGAAAGGTCAAAGCACAGTGGAAAACTATGCTTGTGTGAATCTCTAAAATATGGTGAGAGCAGCAGATTTGGTGATCCTCAAGCATAGACCCAGCTCTGCGGTGCCTCTCCCCTCAGTCGCTGCTTTGGGCATCCCCTGGTAGGAGAGGTAACAAAAATAAATTTACTCTTCACACTTCATCCATGGTTTTGTGGTTGTTCTTGTGTTCTGCCTGTGCCAGCCCACACAGACTTAACTAGCTTGGGTGTTTTGGGGACAGAGCCTCTCTATGCTGTGCTGGTGGGAACCAGAGTGAGATAGCAGAGTCATGATGACAATGTCCAGTTCTCACAGTAGCAGACACAGGAATGATCTGGGATACCAAGAAGTCTGGAAGGACAGTGTATGAATGCAAGTAGTTCTTCACTGTGATGATGCTAGAGAATCGAGAGCTTAGATTACTTCAGTTTGCATATAACAAAATCTGGGATAAGGTCAGACCCAAAAAGGACTAAGACTGCACTTGGTAGAGGCTGGTTTGGTAGCTGGTTCTTTTTGGGTCTCTCCAATTACAGAACTACTCCTTGCAAAAAACAGTAGCTGCTTGCAAACAGCTCCAAAGCTGGTCTGAAACTGTCTTTGCCAAGCAGGTGCTGCTCTTCAACGTGTGACCAAAGCTTCCTTACCAGTGAAAAACATTTAGTCTGAGGTTGAATGGCATCAGCACTCAGCTACTGCAAAGTACGTGTAAAGCCAGGGTGAACCAAACAACGCCAGTTACACTGCAACTGCTGACTGGCATGGACTGCTTAGCAACAGGGAGAGTGATATGGATACAGATGAATTGACTGTTTTCTGAGCAAGCAGGGTAGGAACAGAAGTAATTAGCTGCTAGCTGATGAAAAGGCATGCTTAATTATTAGTATAATTATAGATATAATAGACCAGGAATTATTCAGTAAAAGTAAGAAAGCCAATATGTTACAAAGAAGGTAATCAGAATGGAAGAGAAAATGACAGCAGTATGAATACTTGAGAAGCAACATAAAGAATGAAGATGATAAATCTGGAATCTTTTGGGTTTCCACTCTCTGACATATCAACTGAATTTAAAGTTGGTGTAAGGGTATACAGAGCCAACAAGGTCTATGGCTTGTATTATTTCCGGTTCTATACAATGTTGATTTAACTGATTGCATGCCAATGAAATTGAGCTGTATTTTAATAAATCTTAGAACCTGCACAGCTTCACAAGGATCTTTGTTCTCCTTCCAGCAATACTTCAGCACAACCATTTAATTTGATGGATCTTGTGGGAAGCTCAGCTATAGCTTGTTCTGATCAATATTGGTAATTGACTATAATTATTTGATAAGGCAGCACTGCTTTCCCTTGGCACCCTGAGAAGTAACTGTGACTAAGAAGCAGTCATGTTAGTCAGCTGCCCTGCCTGGGCACTGCATTTTAAACTGTTTTCCATGCCTTCTGGGGAAATGGCTGGAGATAACAGGCTGAGCTGTGCTAACAGACTTTAGGAATACGTTGTTAATATAGGATGTATAATCACTGAAATGGGTAACCTGGGGAAGATTTTAAGTACATCTCTTCTGATGTCAGAATGGACACAGGTAGTACAGGTCGTGCTTTTGTACCAGGAATTGGACTGGATGCTAATGGCAGCAGCAGTGCTATAAGAATCTGGAACTGAGAGGCCTAAGATGTTTACACTTGTTTCTAAAATTATGGCAGTGGAATGGGAGACTGGCACACTGTAGCTCTAATCTGGATTCTTCGAGTCTGACAGTAGTGGTGCCAAAGGATTACAAACCCTCTTGCCCATTCTGCTGGTTAGAAAGGAAAAGCAAGATACAAAGATTTTATTGAATTACTATTTGAGGACTAATTATTAAAATGGCTTTTGATTAATGAGTTGTGAGTCAAGCTGGTTTGGCAAATAGCATTTTGATAAGGTATTTGTAAGACAGATAGTCTTAAAATGGTAAGATGAACGTAAAACACCGTAACCTTAATGATGATGTTAATGCAGAAATGATGTAAATGTGCATGAGCAATTACTGTATGAAGTCACTGGGGTACATCAGGACAAATTGAATACAGACAAACTCTAATTGGTATCAGCTGAGCACAAAATTATTGAAAAGTGAATCTGGAAGAAATCTCAGCTGGTCAATTAGTCCATCGCCTTTTTCCACAACAGAATCAGATCTGTTTATGACATTCTTGGCATATGTAGAACTGTTGTTTCTCTTCCATTTTGTAGAAGACTTAACTGCTACAGGACTGTTAGTGCACTGGTCCTGACTCTGTCAGGACTGTTACTGATTCTCTCCATGGTCTTCTCTCCTGAACACCTCCTGTCCTCAGTCTCTTGATTCAGGTCATGTTTCCCAGACCTCTAACCGCTATTGTTATTCTTGATACTTAGCCTGTCAACATTTCTTGAGGAGCAGTACCCAAGACTGGACATGCCTCTGCACTGAGGTATTACTGACTACAGCAAAAGGACCTGCAAGATGTCTTGCAGGTAATTTTTCTGTTAAAAATATCTGTGTAGTGTTTTTTCTTTGCTCAGGACAATAACCTCTGTTCAGCTTGTGATCTGTCAGAACCTTCAGATGTTTTTTTTCTTTTTTCCAGACTGCTTACTGCTCAGCTGATGTCTGTCCTGTACTTTACTCCTGCCTAAGTTAAAACACCACGCTTTTTACAATTGAGATGACTCCTATATTTATAGACAACTTGTCCAAGTTGTCAAAAGTTTTTAATACTGCTATCCCCCATGTATTTGTAGCCAGTCTTCACAGATGTAATCTTGGCAGATTTAATAAACACACAGTCCATTTCCTCATCCAGGCTATCAATAAAATATTGAATGGAACTTATGAACAGCTGAGTAATCATTCAATTTGTCCTTTACATTTCACAGTGAACCATTGGAAACTACTCTTGGAGTACAGATTCCAACCAAATTTGTGACATGACTTCAGCTAGAGCATTCTTACACTCTTGAATGTCATATGGAACAATGTCAGGAGCCTCAGTGACATTGAGGTGTGTGGTATCTGCTACTTCTTCCTTATCCACAAAGTCTCAGCCATTGGAGAGTGAAATTAGATTAAGTCAGTTTGTTTTGTTTATGAGGAATTTCTGTTGACAAGTACGCATCTCCTTATTAGTTTTTATGCACTTAGAGGTCATTCAGATTATTCTGGTCTTTTTCTTTTCTTGGGTCTTAAATCTTTTATTATCTTAGTTGTTCTATTTGACTTGTAGATGACTGCTAGTGGTTCCAGTTGTTTGAAAGTTTAAGAAATTTGTGAACAGTTGTGAAGGCAGCAGATACAAACCTCTCACCAGGAGAAACTCTGTGCCACATCTGAAATTCCTGTAATAAAGCACAGAGACACAAAAGATTCTCAAGAGAGTGGTGGAAGAATGTTTTAACAAAAAGAAATTATTTTATTTCAGTCTGAGAAATTATGATGCAAATCATTTTAATTTAGAAAAGAAATTTCAGGCTAGCTTGAGAATCCTGGACAGTTTTAACTACAAGTTGGAACAGTCTCATAGAAATATGGTCAGGGTCATGTAAAAGAAGAAGTTGGGAAACCTTAATTTTGGGCTGCACTGACTTCTTTGCCTATAATAGATTGGTAGTGATAATCTAAGAAAATAGGAATAGAGATTAGACTAAATTTCATAACCTTTTAACCCAGAAAGCCTGGATCTCCTCAGCAAAGTTTTTTCTGAACTCTAATACATGCTCACTGTTGACACGGGCTTATTCACAGAACAGAATGACCTTTGCACAGCTCAACGAGAAGCACGTGTCTGGTAAGTTCTAGTATCTCCTGTTCAGTGTACCCAGGTGACTGTAAGTTTGATCGTACAAAACAAGGTATTTTGTCTCATAGCGCTTCTGCTGGAGTGTTTGATACTGTGTGTATAGGAAGTGTATGTATATTTATATGAACACTCAAGTATATGAGTCAAGGAAGAAAGAATATGCATTGCATTGGTATGAACAACTTGCTGTTTTTCAGAAACTTTGTTTTTGTCTGAATTCAGTATTCTAAAGGTTAAAAAGATACCACCCAACAAACTCTTATCTATGGTGTGTGTTGACAAGCCTTTGGGTCAGTACCATTGCCTTTTGTTATATAAAACTATCAGCATGGTTGTGCCTTGAGCTGTTTGGAAGATGGAACTGCTGCCAGAGGAGGGAAATCAAAAGTGTCATCAAACTCCCAAAATAGAGGCAGATGTATTCCATGTTGTCTGCAGGAATTTTGAAGTGTGAGCAGGGGCCCTGTTAACGACTCTTTCTTCTTTTGTCCCCTTTTTTACCATCTTCTGCAATATACATCCCCTTCTGCTTCCTGGTGCTTTAAGCTTAAGGAACTGTAGAAGTACTCTGGAAGTCATTCGCATGTGGAAAAGTGTTCTTGCTTTCTCGGATCCTTCGGTTTTGCAGGTACTTACCGCAAGGTTGGAAATGTTCTTGGTGATGAAGCAGAGACACACGTGAATGTACTAAGGACAGGGCTGCAAGGCAGTGCAGTACAGATTTTATAACACAGAGGTGAGTCATTTCTTAATAGTGAGGACTTTTGAGTATTAACTCTAGGTGACTTCCACTATAAGGCAGCTGTTAACATATTACTATGAATTGGTTTGGAAAAAAAAAAAGATTAAAATTGCATAAGTAGATAAATTTTAAAGAGACAGAAATAATAATGACATTAAAATTGGCTGAAAGAACTGAGCTACAGTAACAATGGAACATTTTAAAAATAAATGGGTAGCTAGGAAGGGGTGTAGGGAGACATGCTGCTTGGAGATCACAGAGGCACCTAAGCTTGACAGTTTCTATGACTGCATGAAACAGAGAAACACAGCCAAGCCCCCGCTCTCTCCCAGCATATTATACTGCACAGCAATCAGGTTTAGTAACACATTGCTGAGAAAAAGACTCCCACAATTTAGTATTCATTATAGATGGCATTTTATAGATTGCAGCGCAGCAGTGTAAACAGCCACACTGGAGGGGAAGAGTGGAGAACAGCATTTCTCCAAGCTCTGATTTATTTCTTGTTGATATTCACTAACTACACAAATCTATGGTAGCACCAATTTTAGGAGGGGAAAGTAACTCAAACCACCACCACTTTTCCAGTGTTCTTGCAGGAAGCCAACACAACAGGGGGCAAAACACAACTCCTGCAGTAGTACAGGCATGTGGCTCCCTTGTGAGGCTGAAACATCTGGTAGATTTGTTTCTGTGAGTCGTCGTGGGTCTGCAGGCCTGCCTGGGCTCTGCCAGCTGCCTGCTTTATATTCCATTTACATTGCATTTTGTAAACCTTGTCTGTGTGAGGAGGAGGTCTGTCCCCACAGATAGGGTGCTGCTGTGCTGGGACACTTAGATCTGTGAGCAAAAAGCTGCCTGGACAGACCAATGTTCTAGGAGGGACCAGTATCCTGAGTACCCTGACCAACTGCTGTCCCATCCAGGTGTGAAGTGACACCAGCCAGTGACACAGCCCCCAGAGAGCTGTCCTGCCTGCATGCTTGCCCTTGCAGAGATGCACGGCCCACGCTGCATCCCATGGGAGCTGGGCCCTCTTTTTTTGGTTTGAGATTGTTTCGTTCAGGTGAGCTGGATGCCAGCCACCCAGAAAAGCAACACAGGTTTTCCATCATCCATGAATCATTAATTCCTGTAAGTCGCAAGGGTACTGAGCACTGCAGCAGAGGTGGGAGCTGCAGCATAGGGAAATGCATAGAGGCTTTCACCCCAAGCTCCCCACAGCCTCTCCAGAGCCTGCCCAGCAGGAGAGAGACGTGGCGTGCTGAAGGAAGGCCATGTGTGACAGCTCTGCTCCGGACACACTGCCTGTGTGAGTGCGGAGAGCCTGTAACAACAGAAGATTTTTCCAGCTCCCCTCCCTGAATGAGTGAGTTCATGTCATTCTGCTGACACAGGTGCAGTTCCTCCTTTTTTTTTTTTTTTTTAAATTCCTTTGGGAGTTGCTTCTCCACATTCCCTGCCTATCTTTTACCTGACCCTGATAGAGCCTCCTCACAGCCCCTTTTGAATGCTTGGTGCTACAGGTTCCTCTGCCTACCTTGCCCAGCATCCCTGCAGCGCTCTGGCAGCGTCCTCCCCACCCTTCCCTTTCCAGCTGGAGGTGTTAGATGTCCTCTTTCCTCCAAAGCCTCCCCTCTTTGAAAACACCTTGGTGGATATCTATCTTTTTTTTTTTTTTTCAGAAGGATTCATGACAGAGTATCTTAATAGTATTTGATTTTCCCCCACAACTACCTCACCATAATACCTAACTTAAAAATGAGACTTAAAAAAGGGTGGGAGCTTCTTAAAAGGAAATTAAAAGCAGGCAAGGGACAATTTTCAAGTGCAAAATCACTAAAGGAATAATAAAAATACTAGTAAAAATATTTCCAAAATTGCCAGAATCGGGTACTTTTCCAGAGGTTTGGTCAACAGATGACTAGTTTCTAGAAGGATTACCTTAAAAGAGGAAAACTGCTGTTGAAAAGTAAACTGAAGCTCTGTGCTGATCCTCACTATGGTTGAAGTAGGTTATTCTCCCATGAGAGCCAAACTTATGAGGACAAGTGTAAGGAACTGTCTGAAATTAAATGACAATAAAATGCATTTTAGGACTAATTGATAAGATGAAGAGTCAGAAATTGCCAAGACCATATGGTAATCACTCAAGAGCTCTGGAGGAAAACAAATATGCAATTATGGAGCTACTATACTGTGTAACCCGTCACTTAAATCAGTCTCCCTGCAGGAGGGAGGGAAGATGGTAAATGTGACAACAATTCCTGAGAAGGTCTCCAGGAGTGGAGAACTGGAAACCGTCACACCGGAGTCTACTGAGCAAGTGAGTGGAAATTATAAGAAAGAAATTATTAAAGGGGTAAACCCCAACATATTAGGGAAACTTTTTTCTACTTAGAAACCACATTTCATATATTTGTTAGAGCTCTTGAAAGGGTCCTGAAGATGCAACTTAGGCGACCTAGACATAACAACATAAGAAATGGTCTAGTGGATCAGACCAGTGGTCCATCTGCCTGCACTGTCCACCTATTACTGCTGTGACCATGATTTGATGTCTCACTCATATCCCTCCTTGGCACCTTCTCTCCCAACTGAGAAACTTCTTTAGTGTCTCTTCCAAAGCAACAGCTAGAAATCAATTTAATCTGGTTGATGGTTCTTTACAAAACTTGTAATTGAGCTGTAAAATCCCTTGCCATAGGATATTATGGATGTGCAAAGTTTACTTGTGCTCTGGGGGTAACAGCAGAAGTTAATGGAGAGAAGTTAAAGCATAACCTGTTAAATAGTAAAACCAAGGATTGTGACTCAAAAAGTCCCAAGACACATATTGTTGGGAAACAATGATATTCCAGGAAAGCACTGCTTCATGCCTGGTATGTTCTTAAACTCCTTCCTCAGGCACCTGTATTGAAAACCAGATGCTGTGGTAGAGAAACCTTCGATCTGACCCAGTGCAGCCGTTCTTGTGCTTTGTTATGTTCTGTGAAAAGAAAATGAAACATAGATATGAATGTAAACACTTCTGATGGTAACAGTGAACACTGAACAGTGAATGCTGAACTCATCTCCCCACTATACAAGCAAACAATGAATTTTTATTTGAATGCTAATGAAGATCTCACCATGATGCTGCTAGGTCTCCTCTAGCAATATAAAGAGAAAAGCTACATGGTGGAAATAAAGAAAGAATCTTTATAAAGGGATGAAAATGTATTGCAAATATTGATGTCATTAACCACTTAGAGGTCAAAAATATACTTGAAGCTCCTGATGTAATTTGAAGTAGGTAAACAAGTATTAAGAAGGAAGTTTTCTTTCAAGTAGTGCATCTGTTATGATCTGAAAAGGAGAAATTTGTATTTCTTGCATCGCTTTAAATGATCCAGTTTTGTAGTCAAAAAGCAGATCTTTCTACAGTCATCTAATCTATTCTAGCTTTCTTTTGGTTTTTGGATCAGAGCTGAGGCAAGCTTCTTTTACAGATTTGTGCTGCAGTCTACTAAAAGAGCTGTTTCTTGCCAGGAGAATATTACATACAGTTCTGAGAAAAATGAACAGAGTCGGCTTGTTTGAGAGCTAACTGATGCTTACTCACAACACTGATAAGCCTGACATTTACTGAGAAGTGCCACAATTCTCAGTCCAATGAAAAATCCCAAGAGGATTTTTTTTTTTCCAGTGATGCTTCACATTCTATTGACTCAGGGTAAGCTGGAGCCTTCTAAAGTATTTCACTCAAAAAAAAAAAAAAAAAAAAAAAAAAAAAAAAGATGTATTAGCCTTCCTTGGCACATTTGTTAATGGTCATGGTATGTTTAACGATGCTCTACAAGTTGTCAGTGGCTTAGGTGTCATATTTCATTCCTGTAGTGTGTTAAAAGCACTTATGCAAGAGTTCTTGGTGCCTTGATTGCAATTACAAAAATTATACTTGGGATAATGCCACTTAGCACCTCCACATAAAAGCCAAAGCTTGTAGTGAAATACCTGCCAGTGACAGTAGGCAGTGCTCTGGCTGTTAGCATAGTCTTTGCGTGTTGGTCTGGGCTTAGGCTTTCTGCAGCATCCGCAGTATCTGGCCATGCAGGGTACTTGTGGAATAGGCCCTGCCTGAAAAAGTCTATCAGGAGGCTTTTGAATGTTCAAGTAGATTATGTCAAGCAGTTCCCTTTTGATCATTATTATAAAGATATTTTCAAATCATTCTGAAATAGTGATGCAAAATTTTCATTACAGACACTGTGATAATAAGCTCCTACACCATATCTTACTCCTTATCTAGAAATTCCATTATTCTGCTTTTAATTATCATTTTGACCAACTTTCAATGTACAAAGCTGTTTCTCTGGCTTATCTTATATCCTTTTAAAGCAGATGAGAAATCCAAACAGTGGCTAAGAATTTTCTGACAAAATTGTTTTTCAGGGAAAAAAAAAATCTTATTTATCAAAACTTGAACTTTTCACAGGAACATATGTTCCAGATGTCAAGAGTTGCAAAATCCATCACTTCAGGTGGTAGTTTGTTCCCAAATTTAATCATCACTGCTGTTAAAAAATGTGTGTTTCATTTCTGGTTTGAATCACTTTCATTTTTCAGCCCTTAGTCTTTCTTCTGTCTCTGCTAGATTAAAAAGTGTTGGTTGATATTTTCCCCTTGTGAAAGTATTTATCGAATCGCCCCACAATTGAGCTGTTTAAGTTTCCCAGTTACATGTTCTTCTCTCCTCATATACTTTTTATGGCTCTTTTCTGCCCCCAATCTAATCTTTCAACATCTTTAAATGTGAACATCAGAATTAGATATACTAGTGGTTTCAATGATGCTGTACCCAGAGGTTGAACGGATTCCTTATTTCTAATCACTTCTCTCATTTCATCATGCTTTTACCTTGAGCGCTTGTGGTGAGCTCCTTGCCCATTAAGACCTCTTAAGCCATAACCATTGCACTCCAAGATAGAGTTTTCTGTTCTGTAAGAGCAGCCCATATTCTCTGTTGGTTCACTGACTGCCTCTTCGTGAACTTACTCCTCTTGTACCTTGCATAATATTAAGTAGAGAGCAGCCTCTCTTCTTGGATGTTCAGGATCTAATAGTTCTGAACAGCAGTCATACTGTGTTTCTATAAATTGGTTCTCTAACCTTTTTTTTTTTCCTTTGTGCCATTATATAGATTTATTTATGAATAATAGAGGTCCCCATGTTTATTATTTCACCTCTTAAGCATTCAGTCTTCTTTCTCTGGTGACTGATGGGATAACTCTACTCGTATATTTACATTCTTACTGCCAGACAGTTTCAGTGTATAGTCTTTTCCAGTAAGAATTTTAGTCTGACTAGATTCCTTAAAACGTTTTCTTTGGTATAAAAAAAGTCTTTCACTTTTATCACTTATACTCTCTTTTCTGTAGTTTATAGCCACATACTATGGTATATCTTTCCTTCTGTATCAAAATCTGATTTTATTACCTGTGTTTTACTTCATATAGTTTTTATTTTAATTAATAAAGTTTTTATATACATGCATTTATAGCTTTTGATTTGGGGGGCACTTTTGTTTAGCTTCTTAGTTTAGTGTCATTTTGATGTAATAAAATTTCACCTATGAACTGTTCCTATCCCTGTACTAAGCTTTTTTTTCTGAACTAGTTGGATATGCAGAGTATTTTTGTTTTACCAACTCTTATCAATCTGTTTGCCCTAGCTCATGACAGATTTACCCTAACTCTCACTTAATTAAACACACCATATATGTTTTCCTTGTGAGAAGTCTGATTTCACTTTTGACTTTTGATGGAGACCATCAGCTCCTGATAGCTCTTTTTCCCCTCTGCCTAACTGGAGTTGTGCGTATAACTGGAAGGATTTCAGAGAAACTGTCAACAGTACCCTGGGGCTAAATCTTCTAGCCAGCAGTCTGACTTTGCCTTCTAGGATCCTTCACTTGCATTTTCCTTTAAAATTTGTGACATGCAGTAGGACCTCATGCTCCTCTCCAGAACTTTCTAGTGTTCACCTCGGTGTCTCATAAAAGATCCCTTCATATTCTGCTTATAAGTCAGCAAATCTCTGTCATTGCATGTGCGGCTGCTGGTGTATGCGCCTGGTATTTAAATTCCCATCAGCACAGTAGACCAAAAGTTCTCAACTGAAAATGTATTTTCAGATATAGCTTTCCTGGAGTTGTCAGCTTGCTTCTCCTCAGCTGGAAGGCAGCTTCCTGCTATGTTAATGTTATGCTGTGCTACGCTATGCTATGCTAAACTATCCATTGTGAGAGGAGGCTGAGCCTCCTTCAAGGTGAGAGGAGAGCAATCAGTCTGAGCTTGGCCTAGTCCCTCATGTCCTTTTACACTGTTTTTGTGCCTTATATTTGTTCTCTCTTTGTTTCTCTAGATTAGAAGCTCTGGCCTCAAACTGCTCTGAGTATGTGCTGTGAGAGAGCCCTGTGGGCAATGAAGACAGTAGCTGAAGCAATTACTAAAGCATTAGTGACTACCCTGGAAGCTCTTGGAAGGCAGGCAAGATCACTGAGCACTACAGAGAGGTAAACACAGTTTACTTCTTTTGAAAAAGAGAAATCAGGGAATTAGACCACTCTTCCCAGAAATAAGTCTGAAAAAGTATTATGTGATCAATTTAAAGCAAATAGAAGGTAAAAAGAAAAAAAAAAAGACATAGATTTACCAGGAATATATCATGTGATTTTACTCTTAATTTCCTTCTTTGAGAAAATAATGTCTAGTAGATAAAGAAGAGGCAGCAGATGGGACATATTTTGCTTTAGGAAAGCTTTTGAAACTGTTCCACATGATTCTTTCAGAAGCAGACTAAAGAAATATGGTCTGTATCAGTGTGCCCAGTATTTCTGGCTGGGTGAGACACTTACCTTGTTTCTGTATAAGGAAGAGACCATATGTTGCAGCCCTTCCTATAATGCGTAACTGTATTGTGCAAGTGTAGAAAAGCCAGTGCTTCCTGGGGCAGTGAGATTTATTGCTTATGTGTGGACACGTTCACATAGTGCCATGAACAGAGGCACTAAGTGGGCTCCCAGCAAAGATGGCATGCAGGGTACTCAGAATAGCCCATGCAGTGGGCAGCCTTCCTCCCTGTGGACTCTAGTCTGGATCCAGAAAGGAGCGAGGGACACAACAGCCAAACTCGTCATCCTGGCAGGCCCTGTGCAGTTCATAGCTTGAGGTTCGTAATTTAGAAGGTAGATGATATTGCTGTAATGTGGGTGGCAGTGGAGCACTGTGAGACTGGGAGGTTATTTTGACTAGAGTCCTGCTGGCATATGTCCTGGGCCCAGTTCTGTTCAGTTTTTTAATTAATGACCTACATGATTTAACAACTCACTCATAAAATTTGTGGATAAACCAAGATGCCCTCAGACTTCTCATGGTCTTGAGAAACTGGAGAAAGTGACCCAGACATTTCAGTCTCATACTGGGAGGTGTTAATAAAATATATTATTAAAAAATGGCAGGAAGTCTCATTTTCTGCAGTGATGTTGAGGCCTTTGCTGGATTTTTGTGTCGACACTTACTGCTAGAGGGAGCTGGGGTTGTGAATGATGTGAGTACCGATAACAGAGGAGTGAGCAGGAAAGAAGTTTTGAAAGTGGAATCACAGTGTTATAAATTGTCACACTACCAGACAAGCAGATCCTTAGTTGTTGGTGAGGTAGTTTTAACAAGAGAGATAAGCTATATAAATCAATGTGAAACTAGATTCCAAACTAGGTTTTAACATTCAAAAGCAATGAGGTATTTTTATAGTTGACAGTTGTGGAAACTCACCAAATAAGCAAGAGCACATGGTTCAAGATAGCAGCTTCTCTTGAGAAATAAGAAAATTCTTGTAATTTAGAAAAATGGAAGGAACTGAAATCAATAACATTGAGGAAGGAAATAGCAAAGAATGGTCTCAGCAATTAAAGTCCCAGCTAAGCAGGCCCCATGAAAAATGGGCAACTAGATCAATAAAAAATGTAGAAATATATCTATACAAATGCTGCAACTCTGAAGCTTAAAAGAGGTGAACTAGACTGTCTGATTTTAAAGGAAGTTATTGACATAATAAATGCCTCAGAAACTTGGCAGAAGGGTAGGAAACAGTAATAATAGGGAACAAATTATAGAGGAAGGCTGGAAAGGGGTACATTAGTGGTGAATCAGTGGAGAGTATGAGGAATTGTCCCTAAATGAAGTTTCAGCAGAGGACGTTTTGGAACAAATCAATAAAGTGAACAGTAAGAAAGCACCAAGATAAGATGATACTCAATCAAGAGTACTGAAAGACCTCAAACACTAGATTAAGAGAAAGCTAAATGTAGCATGAAAAGTGTCATTTAAGTTGACCACACTGCAAGAAGGATGGAAAGTGGCAAATGTGTCTTCAGCCTTGAGAAAAAGGACTCCAGGACAAATGTGGAAAACCACAGATCAGTAAATCTCACTTCCAAACTGAATAAGTGGGTAAAAACTACAATAATAAAGAAGAGAACCAGTAGACAATTTCATAAATGTGATTTATTTAGAAAAAGTCATTACAGTTTTTGCAGAAGGAGACCATGTCTCATAAATCTATTCAAACTCTTTGAAGATGTCAACAAGCTTGTAGGTAAGGCTGATCTAGTTGATAAAGTGTGTACGGACTTCCAAACAAATGTCAATAAGTCTTTCTGCAAAGACCCTTAAAGTAGTTAAGATGAGATAATAAGATGTCCTCTTGTAAGTAAGTACGATGGAGCCAAAATGAGACAAAAAGTGGGAGAAAAGATCAGTTTTCCCAATGAAAGGAGCTCTACAGCTTAGCCATGCAACTGTTTGATTTAGGACCTGTGTTTTTCAATATCTGTATAAATGATTTGGAGAGGGGGGTGTGTGTGAATGTTGCCGTGACAAGGTTTGTGGATGACACAAAATTAGCTGAAATAGTCAAATCTGACCTTGAGCAGATGGTTCTCATGACAGTGAGTGACTGTGTCAGAAATGGCATGTGAAAAATCAATGCTAATAAATGCAAAGTAGTTTGTCTGGAAATAGACATATTCAATTATATATTATACTTACTCAATTACAGATTGAACATTACGTTATTATCACGCAGAAATAGAGTTGCTGTAGGATAACTCTATGAAAACATTGATGCAGTGACCGCAGCAATAAAAAATTCAAACTGAATGAGAGAAATTTTTAGAAAAGGAAGAAAGGAAAAGAAAAACACGATTATGTGATTATGTCACTATATAAATGTTTGGCAAACCCACGTATTGATTAATATGTGCAGTTCTGTTCATCCTGTCTTCACAAAGAATAAAATAGAACTAAAAAGGATGGGTGGGAGTTATTTAGCTTGGAGATTTAGACAGCTAAATTTAGTTTTCTACCTGTAGGTGTCAATCTATGAGGTAGATATCTAAACTCCAACACTAAATCAAAGCTTTTTAATCTGACTTCCTCCCACAGAAATTGGATGAGGACAGAATGGTTTTTGTATCAGGACAGAAGATAGGCATGGGACAGGGATCTTGAGATCTCCTAGCTAGCTAGGAAACAATGAAGAGGGGATAGCTATTATTTTTAAGAATAGGAGAAGTTAAGGATACCTCATGAAATTATGAGGCATCAGGTCTAAACCAGAAAGTCATACATTCTCGTATAACTTATTAAATTGTAGAACTTACTGCCAGAGACTGTTGTGTAGGTCAAAAGTATAAATGAATTAAGAATTTCTGGAAGGCTGATGGGTAGTCAGTGTCCTGCCAAACAGAATTATGAAGACTCATTCAACTGTCAGAAGCCAGGTAGAGGTACATGGAAAGGGCTCCGAGGCAGCTAAGTAGGACAATAAAGACTATTTCTAGGCCAGAACAGAAATCGTGAGTGAGAAACTGGTGTGCACCCCACCAATAGCTCTTCTTGTGGTCAATGGGACACTATGAAGAGAGAACCACAACTGGGATCTTGGGAGCAGAAAGTGTGGTATACTCCAACGTAAACTTTGGGGGAAGGAGAGCAAGAGGGAGGGAGAGAAATCCTGTGCAGAAATTTTAGAAAATGAGGGAGAGTAATGATAAACATATAGCCATTAGTACAGGTAATGTCCAGAACATGGAAACAAGAAGCAGTGTTCATAGCTCATGATCTTCAGCACCTCAGAGTTGACTGAAGGAAGAAAATCCTAGAAGGCACTAGCAGTACAGCTCTTCCCAGGGCTTGCAGCTGGTTACACTCCTGCCTGGGACTTGAAATGCAGGTACTAGAATTCACTTGCTAAATCTAGTCTCTAGTAGAGCAATACTCTAGTGGTTTTTGAAGACTTAAATAGCTAACAAACACATTCAGCCCAGCTTATCTCACTCTGTCCAAACTCCCTGGGTTTCACTGGCCAGCAGTGTTTCAGTCGTTACTGAAGTTGCAGATGGGATCCTGAATGCAATCAGTAGTGACCCAAACATGGCCAGTTTGGGTGGATTGTCTCAGAGGAATAGCTAACAAGATATGCAGGGCTATGGAGTAAGGCTGGAGAACATCTCCAGCTCTCTGATGTGGGGGAGAACTGAATTATGAATGTGGCCACCGCTGTAGATAAGTTTAGTTTATTATAAAGCTGTGTATAGTGGCCCCAAACTTTCCTCTTTCAATCCTTCTTTCACTTTCCATTTTGTTTGGGTATATTTTCATTACTCATTTTGTGCTTTAGAAAAATACTTGTTTCTGTTTTGAGTTACTCTGCTGGCTGTCCCTAGGGTATCTCCACCTGGCTCTTACATGGCTGCAGGTATTTTCTGTGTGCTTGGGTAGCCATGAATTTGACTTCACAGAGCTCAGAAGGACTCGGAGTACTCTGGAAAGCAGTATTGCTCATCTGCAGGGTGCAAACTCAGAAGATGATGATTTAATTAGATTGGTAGCACTACTTAAAAGCAAAATTGGAATCTAATGCAGCTGTCTTTTAAAATACACTTCAGTGTTACTTAAGAAGCCCATAATAACATAGAAGTGGAAACCTTTAAATGAGGGTAAATTTGATGGCAACTTTTATATCCTTTATTGTAAAGCATGCCAAGCTGCTACATGGTAAAATCCATTAGTACTTTACAGATTTTTTTATTTTTTTAAATCTGAAACTATTCATTAGCTCAAAGTGAAACTTACTGTAAGAAAGTTCTGGTGGGAGTTGCTGTAGCTGACTGAGGAAGTACCATCCTCTCCCAGAACAATCCAAGGGCCTGAGCCTCATGTCCACGTGTCTGGTAGCAAAACACTGCAGCGTCCTGCTCCTACATGAAATTTCTGCTTTATTAAGCATCTCAACCAAAGGCCATAATTACAAGTGCATTTCTTCCAATGCCAGTATGAGACTTAAGCAGTTCGTGCTCCTTTCTGTCCCCAGTCCCTTCTGATCATGCTGAGGCTGCCCAGGAATCTGGGACAGAGAATGAGGCTGCCTAAAAAATGCTTTTCCCAAAACAGGGCTATTCTAACCTGGGATCCACCTTGATCCACTTTTGTATGTAGCCCTAACACAGTTGTA